CCCTCCAGGGATGGGGACTCCACCACTGCCCTGGGCAACCCCTTCCAATGCCTCAGAACCCTTTCAGCAAATAAATTCTTCCTCACATCCCATCTCAACTGACCTGGGCACAACTGGAGGCCATTTCCTCTTGTCCTGTCCCTTGTTCCTTGGTTGAACAGACCCACCCCCACCTCTCTCCACCCTCCTTTCAGATAGGTGGAAAGACTGAGGTCTCCCCTCAGCCTCCTTTTCTCCAGGCTAAACAACACCAGTTCTCTCAGCTGCTCCTCATCACACTTGTGCTCCAGACCCTTCACAAGCTCAGTTGTCTCCTCTCTGTGGCCAGGAGAAAAGTGGTCTGATGCAACCAAAAACCAGACTGTGGGAAGTTGTTAATTCTGTCAGTGGTTTCCTTGGAAAAAATCAAGTTTCCTGCTTGGTTTCTTGCAGATTCATCCTTCACTACATGGAAAATCTGCTGTTTGGCAGGACTGCTGCTGCTCAGCTCTTGGCTCCAGTCCATCCTGCCTGGCTGCAGGCCCAGAGGGAAGGGAAGCAGCGGATGCTTTTCCAGACTGCTGCAGGCAGGCAGGAGTCCTCCATCCACACAGGAGCTACATCCCCTTGCAGCAATAACCTGTACTGGAGGAAAAACACCTCTTGCTACAAGAGCAGGCTGGTTGCATAGGTTATGAGACCTCCCAGTGACACCTGCCTGAATGGGCTCTGCAGGTAGGATCTCCCACCCAGCACCTATATCCTGCAAAAGACACAAGGATTTGAGAGCAAATCAGGAGCAAGAGGCAAGGACATGTAAAACACCACGCTAAACAGACCCACAAATGATCCACCCTGCTCATTATTTGGGAAGATCTCAAGTGATGCCACGTTGCCAGCACGGAGCATTGGGTTTGCTCCCAGAGGCTCTTCCAGCAGCTTAACCACTGAAGGAGCAAAGTCCCAAGAAGCTGAGCATGAGACATGTTCTCCAGGGAAGTGAAGGTGATCCCAGCTGGTGTTGGATATTATGGTTTAAGGAGGTTTTGGGTTGCTGAAGCAGGAACCTTGTGTGTAGTAGCAGAGGTGGCAAGTGGGGGTCAGGGCTGTTGGTGTCCCCAGCACCACAGAGATCCAGCGTCACTCCTGTACTGCAGACAGCTGGGATTTCACTGCATTAAGGGAGAGAGAGAGAGAGCAAAGTCAGTTTACATGGTTGATTAGTATCATCGTTGCCAAGATACATAACCATGTTGCTCTATTTATTGATTATTTCAGTCTGTCATGCAATTTATCCAGGCTTCAGGGTGCTGGAAAAAGGAACAAAGAGAATTCATGAGCTGTGGGGCTCTTTGACCTAAAGTGAACCCACCCCAATAGCAATTTCTTTGCTTGGAAAAAACCCTAAAATTTCTCCTTTCAAAATGAGTTATGACCTTGACAAATCTGTTACCACGTGGGTTGAGAAAAGGTGGCAGGTAGCCCCAGTCTAGATGGGCAAGTGCACTGTGGTCCACCCAAAATAGATGTGCATCAGCTCAGCTGTGGCAAGGAGAGGCTACAGATCCAGTAACATCCCATCCCTATCCCAAAAAAACCCCACAATGGCCAACATCCATTGGCATCACACAGCATGTGCTCTACTTTCCTAATAGTCCATCTCTGTTCCTCATGTAGCACCACAACTCTTGGGTTATGGGCTGATGCTGAAGCCTAAGGTCCACCTTCCTAGGACAAGAGGAAATGGCCTCAAGTTGCTCCAGGGTAAGTTTAGATTGGAGAGGAGGAATAATTTATTTACTGAAAGGGTTGTCAAGCATTGGAAGGGGTTGCCCAGGGAAGTGGTGGAGTCCCCATCCCTGGAGGTAACTAAAAGACATGTAGATGTGGCACTTAGGGACACGGTTTATAGGTGGACTTCCCCAGGTAAGTTCTTCCCATGGCATAAAACCATCCATCACTGAAGGTGTAAAATCTGCATCTGACATCTGCTTCTAGAAATTGTGGTTTGTGCTTGGGGGAAAAGTCATTGGCTGAAGAGCCTGGGCAAGAAGAGAGTGAAAGGAGATGTTGCACCACCAGAACAAAGCACCCCTCAAAATCCAGAGCTTTGTCCAGATGTGCCAGTGCCATGAGCCAAGGAGCTCCTCGGAGCAGAGCTCAACCCCCAGCTCATCCATTCCTCAGCCTTTCCAGCAGTTGACTCCAGCCAGCAGCAGCAGGGAGAACACTTAGCACATTAATAAATCCCATAATACTGAATAAAGCACTTTGGTTTATGGTTTTGCTATAAGAACTCACCCTCGGGTACTTATAATTAACTGAACTAGAAAAGAAGTAAAGATTCCAATTTTTTCCCATCAATTTTCTTTTTTGAATAAAAAATAATAATAAAAGAAAAGCAAATCAGCACTTCTGGTAAAAAACCCCTCTCCTGATATTCACCTGCCTGGCTAGGAATATTGATCTCTGTGCAGAAAGAAGGAGCTTTCCTTATTGCACGTCTCACTGGTTAATCCATCTTTCTTGACTGCAGAATATTGCTTTGGCTTTATTTTCCGAGCAGTTCTGTAATTCATTGTTCTCCACGATCATACCTAACCCCAGAACTCCTGGGGAGCGTGTGGGGAGGAAGCGGGAAGAGCTCATTTTAATCTTGCATCAAGACTTGACCTCTAGCAGGAGGCAGCTGCCAGCACCATTGCCCCACCTCATGTTCATCTCCAACAGCCCCTTTTCTGGCATTTTCACATCTTCTGTTTCCAAGTTGCCTGCAGATAAAGTTGTCACTGTCCTCAATAAAAAGGGGTGGGATGCTTTGTTGTAATTACATGTCTGAGTTTGGCTGGGAAAAATAAACCCACACGCAAAGATCCCGGCAGCACCGGGATTCAGACAACCCCTCATCCACCCAGCCAAGTCTTTCCGACTCCACATCATCCAAAGTGCAGTGCTTTGGGGTTTTTTTTATTTTCCTTTATTAAAGCACACAAGTAGCCACCTAGGAAATTGTCATTTACAGTGGGGTAATTGCGAAAATCATACCAACACAACTATGTCAGGAGAGAATTAAAGAGCCTGCGCTTCAGGCGGCCGGCCGATCGCAAGCCTTTAACTCCATAGGCACAGTACAATAAAGCTTCTGCTTTCAGGTTGATGTTGCTCTTCTGCTAACAAACTCCACTGAGCATTGAACAGAATGGCTAAACACATTCGCTGCAAGGGCCACAGAATTACCCAAAAGCTTAGTAAACACACATTTATCCAGTACTTAATTACGCAAGATCGGCGCAGCATAGTCATTATAACAAAATCCTTATTAAAAAAAAAAATGCCAAACACTGGTTGGTTTTGTATTATTTTTTTTCCCCCAGAGGACATACATCTATTTAAAAACCCAACCAAGAATTACAAAGGAAGGGTGGCTGTTCCTTAGCCAGCCACTAACAAGTGTTCTCCTGCTTCTTCATGGCACTGCGAGAAAAGTCACTTCCCAGCATCATGTACAGCCATGCCCAGCAGCCTCCCACACCACAGGAGAGCTGATGGGCTGAGGAGACTCAAGGTTGCTCACTGACCAACACTGTTGTTGTATCCACAAACACAACAGCTCACCAAATTCATTGGTTTTTGGTTTTTTTTCCAAGGGCATGGATGCAGCTCGCCAGCAGCACAGTTCTTGGGGAGTTGTTCTGTAATGTGCTTGGGGGTTTTATGAGATTTCCTAGTGCTTGGGGATAAACATCCATTGCAAAGTGCTTAAAGTGCCCAGATTTCCTCCTCCCCCTACATTATTCAGGAGAAGTGCTAATTGCAAAGTTAGCTCTGGTATCCCTCCAGATTCCCCATCAAATGCTAATCAGCATGAAAATCCTTCCAGCTTGAGCAGTTCACAAGGGATCTGGGTCCTTTACGTGGGACACTGGAACTGTATCTATATTTTAAGCCCAACCATAAGGGAAACACTCTACATAGAAATATAACACTGGATTCTTTTATACAGCATATATAAAGAATGTGACAGCATTAAAATATTGGCAAATCAATACATTAAAAGTACAGCATCTCATAGACCAGAGCACAAGAAATATATTCACATTAAATCTGTACAGTCCGGACGACGCTGCCAGTTCTCAGGTTGCAGCTGATCTCCCATCTCCAAATGGAAGTGGTTGCTTTGCATCCCCATCAGCACCACTGGCCACCACTGCCCAGATTTCCCTGGGGTTTTGTGCTACAGGGAAAATACAAGTCTGCTGTCCCCACCAGCACGGAGGGCACTCAGTGGTTAAACTCTTCGGGAATGCTTTCCTTACCAAAGGAAATGACGGGGCATTTCATTTTCTACAAAGCCCTGGCCCACTGGGAGAGGAAAATCAATCTCTAGTTAGCAGGAGGGGTGGTACCTCTGCAGCATTTCCCAAGTGCTCTCAGGATCATGGATCTCAATTGATTAAAAAAAAGAAAAGCCACAAACCCCCCACCTTTTGTATGGTTTGTGCACTGCTCATCTCCTGGGGAGCAGGTGGGACTGTTTTAGGCTGCCCCTCCTGCCAAAAATGTCCATGTCTTCTGGAGGAGCTGCTGTTCCAACTTCTCCAAAATTACTTTCCCCTGTACATAAGTGGGGAGCAGGTGGGACTGGTTTAGGCTGCCCCTCCTGCTAGAAATGTCCATGTCTTCTGGAGGAGTTGCTGTTCTGACTTCTCCAAAATTACTTTCCCCTGTACATAAATACACGTATACATAGGCCACTTCATTCCATCCTCCTCTCGCTGAGGAAGATCCCCAAGGCAGAGGAAATCCTACGTTATAGCTGTACCTATAGCACTAGAACTGTCTATATACAGACACGTTCTGTCCAATACTACAATGAAAATACAGCATTTAATTAAAAAAATCAATAGCAGCATGTAAACAAGGATTAGTGTTCATGTCATCCATCCTTTCTTCCTTCTCATCTGCATTCATCACTTATGACAGTCCCTTCTCACCACCTTCATCCTGACATTGTCCTCCCCGGGCTCCTGCCCCACAGCAGCTTGAATTTCCCTTTCCAGCAGCTCCCTCCTCTCCCTCCTGCATCCTTCCCTTTGTGATGACTCATCCTAGAGATGATCTTGGTTTTTTTGTCTGACGGTTGCTGCCCACTTTGGCTTCAGCAAAGTCTAATTTCAGAGCGATACCGCAGGAATAAACCTCATACCCAAGTGCCTGGTGAACCACATGAGCTGTTAACATCTTAAACAACTCGGGGAGGAAAAAACAAATTGAATAGTTTGTATTTTGTCCATCTCCCAGCAGCAAAGTCTAAGTTTCCAGGAGAAATACCTGTTTTAAACCCTTAATTCCTGAATTCTCAATGATGTGTTGAACCACCAGGGTTTTGCAGGAATCAAAGGGCTGATTTCAGACATGTCCCTTAGTGCAGGGTGCACTGGAATTGAAAAGGCATCAAATGGGCTCACTTTTCCTGCATGCTCCTGCAGTATCCAGTTTTCCCAACCCCCAAAATTGTTTCCTCACCTCTCAGTTTTGAGGTCCTGCTAAAGAGCCGTTATCTGAGTTAGCTCTGACGTGGGGGTGGTTGGACTCTGCTGGGCAACAGCCGCCATGGGAATTTCCATGCCTAGTCAGGCCGGATTGTTAGTCCCCTCCGAGTTCTTGCAGGCATAGGCAACATCCTTGGCGATGCTGCACATCCTGTTGGACATCTGGAGCTCGGTCCTGAAGGCTGTGGGGAAGCAGAACTTCTTGAAGCATGCCTTGAAGTTCTCATCTAAGAAGGCGTAGAGCACAGGGTTCAGGCTGCTGTTGGCATACCCCAGCGCAGTGCAGAAGCAGGAGATGGCCAGCTCAAGCTCACTTTCTGCCTTGGCACCCAAGCACTGGACCAGCACAAAAATCTGGATGGGAGTCCAGCAGATGATGAAGACTGCCACCACCACCAGGACCATTCGAGTGATGCGCCTCAGGTTTCTATCTTTCTCTTTGGAGCCTGAGAGGACACGGACATTCTTGAGTCGTCTGATCATGAGACTGTAGCAAATGGTGATGATCAACACAGGGATCATAAAGGAGAAGAGAAAGACACAGATGCCAAACACTGGATCCCAGTAATCCACAGGTGAAGGGAGTTTAATTAGACAGTCAATTTCTGCAAGTTGAAAAATAAAGAGGAAAGGAAGATCAGCAAACTCATATCAAGAAGAAAAACATCTGCACATCCAGTTTAGTTGAGGCATTTTTAACACTGGAAAAGCAGTAGCAGAGGTACAAAGGGAAATGGGAAAGGGTTAAAATGGCTTTACAGCAGAGACCTGATGAAACTCCCACCCCTCTCCAAAGGCCCTCCAAGCCCATGGGATCTCCTGGCCACCCACACCTCCCAACACATGGATACGTTTTTACTGACCATTGTTTTCATTCTCTGCAGATCCCATCACCATTGCTGGGATGCCAAAGACAGAAGCCAGTGCCCAGATGCAGACGTTCACCACTTTGGCCTTGTGGGGAGTGCGGATGTCCAGTGCTTTGATAGGGTGGCAGATAGCGATGTAGCGGTCCACGCTCATCATGGTCAGGGTGAAGGTGCTTGTGAACATGTTGTAGTAGTCTATAGAGATGGCAATCTTGCAGAGGACATTGCCAAAGGGCCAGAAGCCCAGGAACGTGTCTGTACCCTGGAAGGGTAAGGTCATCAGACACAAGGTATCAGCCAGAGCGAGGTTAAAGATATAAATATTGGTTGCTGTCTTCATCTTGGTGAATCTGAAATGTCAGAATGAGCAATGGTTAGAGCTTCACCTGATGATGATGGGTAAGACATTGAGGTCTACTGAAGAAGGCATTCTGCCACTTTAGGAAGGAGATGCTGCATTTTCCTTATGTAACACGAGATCAAACACCATCCTGTTCTTTCTAGCTCCCATGTGCTCATCAACACACAGCTCAACCCAGCTCCTACAACAATACAAATGGTGCCTTCACAGTTTCATGGGCAGGAGAAGCTTATTCCTTTAGATTGCATGTGAGGACCATGAAAGCCTGAGGCTATCAACTCAGACTCTGCTTTTTGAAGGACTTCAGTAAGACTAATTAGTATTTCAATGAGGCTGTCAACTCAGACTCTGCTTTTTGAAGAAGGACTTCAGTAAGACTAATTAGTATTTCATCACATATAGCTTCATAATTATAAATAGTGGTGAAAGTTTTACACGGTAAGCTGATTTATAAGGGATCGTATGGTCCAGGGGTAAGTTGATTAGCCATTTTGTATGGGCTCATAGCCAAAGACTATGGCTAACATGAGCTACCAAATCAGAATGGACAAGATGGCCAACCCCAGCCAGTTGCAGATAAAAACTGGTGAGGAACAAGGTTTACATCAGAAATCAAAATATCACAAAGGCTCTTTCTAAGGAAAGAGGCAGTTTGGGGGTAAAGTCATGAGTCAGCTGCACTTCAAAGGGATTTTTTCATTTCTATATTACTTTTATCACACAAACTGATGGCCCCAAAAGAAGATTCACCTTCCTCTAATGGTAACCATCTTTTTACACATGGGAAATGATGCAAAGAAAGATGTGATCACTGACCCAAGGAGACATGCAGAGTCTGCAGAAATGGAAACTCAACCGTGACTCTGTGACTGAATCTATTGTTTCAGCTCCAGGATGTTCCTCCCATGGGCAAAAATAAGAGCTCAAATAGGTATAATTTTAAAACTACATCTCATCTATCATTTATTACACTAATGGTCTTTGCAGAAATGTTGCCAGAAATGGCAGATAATTATGTGTATTATTAACAGAGTGTAAGTTCATTTGAGGGTAACACTTAAACCCATGAACTACTGCCCTATTTGCAATTCGATATGTGTTGGAATATTATGGGGTCTAATTTGACCTAAAAAAAAAGCTCTTTTTGTCAAATTGATTCAGAACAGCAAACCCAGAGCTGCACTCCTCAGCACTGTATCCTCTCCCATTTCACCTTTTGATAGATTATTTGAATGCTTGGAGGAACATTATCACTGCCACGCTCTGAACTGTGTCGAGACACATGGTGACCTAGCCAGGTTTGCAAAAGTAACAGCCAAAGAACCCACAAATCAGAATAAAGTCTATTTTTTTTTACCCTTAGAGCTCTAAGCCGTGTTTGTATTAGAAGTCAGATGTTTGAAAGTGCTGTCTACCAGACTGTGGCTTCAGGAAGCAAGAACAAATGATTCTATATTTGACATTGAAACTCAAGGGAAGACTTTGGAGCAGGTGAACATGATGGAAACACTTGAGGTCCTCACATAAGCCTGAGTCAGGCTCCTCCTGGACCAAAAATCACAGCAGCCAAACAAGATGGTGGGTTCTTGGAAAACCAGCCCAAAACAGATAAACTTATATAAAACCAAAAGTACTAGAGGAAAAATACCAGTGTCTTTCCTATTGTGAAGGCATGAACCAGCAAAACCCTACAAGTCCAACCCAACCAGACAACTGCCAGGGCTTCAACACTTTGGGACTTACTAAGCAGAATTACACAGAAACAGATTCCAGAGCAGCAGCATCTCAGGTTGGGAGAGTTTTGGTTTTTTGTTTGAATTCTCACAGTTGGAATAAACAAGTCAGTGTCTACAGGAAGCATGAGATGGGTCTGTGAATGGATTCAGACACTTTTCTCTCTAGGTCAGCAGGGGAGATAATTAAAATTAAGAAATTAAATCACTGTTCTTTATCAGCCCAGACAAAAATAAGTATTGTCAGCTCAGACTTCAGGAAATTATTCAGTCACTTAAGAGATGTGTTAGGAAAGGTCTTCTAGGAGCTGTAGTCTTCCTCTGTACACCACAAACCTGCCTGGGCTTACCCAAGCTTCCCAAAGGTCATACTTGTTCCAGTCCATCCTTCCAGGAGGACTGGACTTGAAGGCAATTCCTCAACATGCCTCTAACCCCAACTGCTTTTAATGAGGTTATAACTTCATATATAATGAGGTTATAACTTCATATTCCTTCATAACTTGAAGGAATAACAATTGCATTTTTGAACAATGATGGGCAACTTCATCACTGGGAAACTGAAAAAATTTAAATGTTGGGGTTTTTTTGACCAGTGGGAGAAACAAGCAGGGATCCACCCACCTCTACCACTAAAGCTGGACCCATCCAGCATCCACAAGGAACAACATTGTCTCCTTGTACACCCCTGTCCCCAGAACAGCCTCAAGTTGTGCCCAGGGCAGTTGAGATGGGATGTGAGGAAGAATTTCTTTGCTGAAAGGGTTCTGAGGCATTGGAAGGGGTTGCCCAGGCCAGTGGTGGAGTCCCCATCTGGGGACTTGTCAGTGTTGGGTTCATGATGGGACTCAATGAGCTTAAAGGGCTTTTCCAATCCAGGCAATTCTGTGATTCTCTAAATTTGGGGCATCTCAGCTAACTCACAGCTTGGGATGTGCAGGTTGCAAACCTTCAGCTCCCTCCTGCTCCCCTCCACCCCAGGAGACCTGCCTGGCCTCTCACCAAGAGACTTCTCACCAAGAATTCAAAGTCCAGGTACAATTGTTCAGCCTGACCCTGCAAAATCCTCTCTCCCTCAGTGCACAGGTCCTCCTTTGCTGTCCCTTTCCTTATCCTCTCCTCCAGGTGACAGCAGAGCCACTTTCCCTCACTCCTTCTGATGCAAGGACCCTTCAACCCACCTTCAAGAGGATTTTAAGGCTGATTTTGTGCTCTTAAAAGGTGGGGAAATCCTTCTGATGCAAGGACCTGCTGGGGCAGCTGGCCCACCACTTACCTCCTTCAACCCACCTTCAAGAGGATTTTAAGGCTGATTTTGTGCTCTTAAAAGGTGGGGAAAAGAATTTACACTTAATTAATTAATTCTAGCTCTGTTTTCTCTGCACTCTGAGAGCCAACAGCCATTATCCCAACCAACCAATGCTCCCAAACATTTCCAGAATGTTCAGTACAAACAAAAATCAATTAATCTCTTCTCTGTGAATTAACCTTTTATTCTTTTCCTCCAGAAGCTGAAATTGTTCTTTCTTAATCACCACAAGAAAAACCCCAGACAAATTAAACTCTTGGGCTTTAGGAGGCACCTAAGGTCCTCGCAATGGCACAGCTCTGACACGGCTGAGCCTGTGGCCTCCACGGAGGATACTGGCTCCCTGTTGAGCCATTTTCTTGCACTTGGTCACGGAGGTAATTTGCTAATGGGGCATCTCCCGCAGGGCAGTTCTCAGCTCTCCATCCACCTCCACCTTTCTCACAAAAATAATCGGTTTGCTCTGCTCTCCTGTTCTCCCACCCGCTGAAGCCCAAGAGAAAAAACATCTGGATACCAACTCAGCACTTGGCTTCTCCCTCCTTTTTGTTAAGTGGATCTCAAGCAGCGTTACCCAGGACAAAGGTTCGCTCCAGCGAGGGGAACCCACAGTTTAGGAGAGGAGGGGAGGGGAAGGAAACAGCCCTTCCACATACTGGGCTCTGAGGTCCTGTGTTTCACAAGGATGGATTGTCCCTGGTTAAGCCTCAGTGTGAGCTGCAAGCCTGTTTTAACATCTCTCCCTCCTTTCCACCTGTCCTGGTGTGAGCTGGGAGAGAGCTCAGTTTCTTTCCAGCAGCCAGAACAGCGCTGGGGTTTGGGTTCAGCTGGGATTTGGTAGGAGAGAAACACTGAGAACAGACCGATGTTTTCAATTGTCACTGGAAGTTGAAGGACTTTGTGTTTTGTCCGTCTGCAAGCACAAGATCTCAGGGGGTGAGGAATATTGAAATGAATCAGCTCCATGGGTATTTGTCTCTGTCAATGGGCTGTTCCATCTCCTGTCCCGTCATGGATAGGATTTAAATCACTCAGGACTATGAAGGCAGACACTACAGCAAAAGCAACCAGCAACACCAGCACGTAAATCCTATTACCATAGAATCATGGAATGGTTTGGGTTGGAAGGGACTTTAAAGCTCATCTGCTTCCCAGCCCCCCTGCCATCAGCAGGGACACCTTCCACTAGACCAGTTGCTCAAAGCATCATCCCACCTGGCCTTGAACACTTCCA